GCAACCAATGTTTGCAAAATACATACAGTTGTAAATGTTCATTCAGTTCATTCATTTAATTTATTTGTGTCAGGAAAGAGTCGTTTATTTATTTATGTTGTGGTGTGCACTTCACCTGTTGTAAATAATGCACATAAACTGCACCATCTATTCAGCAAAACGTTTTATTTGTAAACAGTAGTTAATATGCAAAAAAATTGAGGAAATAGCAATGAAAAATATATTTTATAGCATATATAATCTTTGTTTATGTTAGCAAAATGGTTCTCACTTATGTTGTACAGCATTAAATAATGTAAAAATACACATAACTTGATATTACAAATCTAGTAAACTCAATGGTCAACAGTAACTACGATTAATAAATTATGTCAATGTATTAGTTAACTCTTGTTAACTAAGTAAATTTTGTTGTAAAGGGTGGGACCATTTGGACACTCAGGAATATGTACTTAACTACTGTGTATACTACACTGAAAATACACTAAATCTGCCCTCAAAATAGAGTGAGGAACCATTGTTGATACACAGGAACTATCGTGTACTTACACTGAAAATACACTAAATCAGCCCTCTTAAAATACAGTGAGGAACCATTGTTGATACACAGGAACTACCATGTACTTACATTGAAAAATGCAATAAATCTGCCCTCTTGAAATACAGTGAGAAACCATTGTTGATACACAGGAACTACCGTGTACTTACACTGAAAATACACTAAATTTGCCCTTTTAAGATACAGTGAGGAACCCTTGTTGATACACAGGAACAACCATGTACTTACACTGAAAATACACTAAATCTGCCCTTTTAAGATACAGTGAGGAACCCTTGTTGATACACAGGAACTACCGTGTACTTACACTGAAAATACAATAAATTTGCCCTTTTAAGGTACAGCGAGGAACCATTGTTGATACTCAGGAGCTACTGTGTACTTACACTGAAAATACACTAAATCCGCTCTCTTAAGATACATTGAGGAACCATTGTTGATACACAGGAACAATCATGTACTTACACTGAAAATACACTAAATTTGCCCTCTTAAAATACAGTGAGGAACCATTGTTGATACTCAGGAACGACTGTGTACTTACAATAAAAATACACAAAAAAAATACCCTCTTAAAATACAGTGCAGAACTTGTAGTCCAAGGAAATAATGTGATACTAAACTGAAAAAACAGGAAATATACATTTTAATACATAGAATTTACATGCTAAATTTACAAAGATGACATTAAAATTCGCATTCGTTTGTTATAGATAAGAAAGAATAAAGCACTCTGGGTCTACATATATTTACCCAATTTCTTAGTAGTACAACTCTTTATGGTTGCAAATTAACAGATTTTGAAATGTTTCCTAATGTCACGAAACAGTTGAGCAAGTACTCCTGCTTTGTTTTGTTTGCCTAACCATTGATACCACTGAATACATTTCAAATGCTCTTTCAAGAGCTGTTTGCTTTTGTTGCCTCTTTGCTTGTTAACCTGTGACTTGATGCTTTGCCATGCACGTTCTATGTGCTGTGTATGGCAACCAGTGTATGGATTAACAAAGTTTTCTGAATGGTTCACAGTAAAATGCCTGTACCCATGTCTAGGAAGAGCCTGAGCATATGCTCTCCAACAGTCACTGAAAATGGTAGATCCTCTTCTTGCGTGCCTTCTGATAATGGGCACAAGAGTCTGTCTTGAGCGGTTTTTGACTATCTTTAAAACTGGCAAACGTCTTTGGCCCTTGATTTCCAGCATTCCAAACACCCAGCTGTTTCTTCTCCATGTAAAACGAAAACGACCACGGTTATACTAAAAACAAAACAACATTTTTTTAGATTATAGGGTATACAGGAATCATGTTTTTATTAATATAATTTGAATACATTGTAAGACCTTTTTAAGACTCTTTTCATACATTTTAAGACCTCGTCGCCACTTTAGATTTTAACCAGTAACATTGGTGAAATTTTATGTTGAAGTATATTTACTGAATACTAACTTTTTAAAAGCCCATCTAACAAATCTTGTGACAGCTCCTTATCAATTAAACATATTTTAAAAGGTTAGGAAACGAAGCACAAGATAATTATTTGAGATACTACCCCTTTGCAAATTTAAATATTAAGTAATAAAAATAATATAAAAAATACATGTATAATAAAAACATATGGCCTTGGAACTCAACAATCAAAACCTATTAATACTTTTTAAGGGCTTTAATTTTCTCTAAAATGATTTTAATATTTTTTAAGAATTCGCAGACATCCTGAATTAAGATGACTTAATCATTTAAAATGGATTAAGCCAAATATCAAGTATTTAATTAACTTATAAAACAATTAAATAATTTGTTTAATATATATTTATACAACAGGTCTGTCTGGTTCTTAAATCTGATCGACTGATAGCCATGTGATATTCTGCAATAACAGCATTTGTACTCCTTACTCTTCTGAAATTCTCTGCCCACGTACAGCGACAAGGACACTTTACAGTTTGACAAATATTGCAGCTATTAGACAACATTTTGTACTTTTATGGTTTTTTTAGTCAAGGATGTAGTTATTTAGATTGCACCCATGCAGTTTATTTATAAGGATAGTGCCTATTTCAAAATATTTATAATTTATAATATAAGAGATTCTAAGTGCGTTGGCATCATTAGCCAAAGACGGTTGACGTTGTCTATCCACAAGATGGCGCCAGGAGCACATAAGCCCTTGCTTAGAAGATTAATAGAGTGATAACTACAGCTGATCAAATCATTATTAAACAGGTAAGTGATATTCTAAGTCGATCTCTCTCTTTTGAATAGATTACAACTATGCAGTTTATTTATAAGGACAGTGTCTATTTTAATACAGTTACTTTCCTATTCCCTTTTTCAAAAGTGTTATTCAGAGACCTCACCCCCGAACACCCCCTCCTTATCGCAAACAAAACAGCAGTCTGGTAGTGATTGTGCTGCTTTTTTTGGGGTTAATTATTGTGATATCTCGATTGCAACAGAAAAATACTGTAGACTGTAACACTGTAATAAAATATCTCTGTAGACAGAGGGCATTTCATGTCAAGTTCAGCCTTATAATCTTAAAATGTCAGCAAAATCACCTGTTTTGTCATCACTTTATACATTACGCATGAGAATCATTCAAACACTAGCTCTAAAGTGAGGTTGGTGACTTAGTAATGGCTTCTGCTGTTTTGACGTCAGCTGCAGATGTGAATGAATGGCGGAAGAAAGTAGTTCCTAATACAAAAGGGTTTTTAGACTTTCTGTGTTTGATTTTCTTTTTTTTATATAGACAATTGTGCCGTCGAACTGTTGTATAAACACAATATCACACTCATAGCAGTGCGATAAGGCTGTATATCAGCACTGGTGGGACACTAAAGCACGCCTCCCACCAGTGCTGATATACAGCCATATCGCACTGCCTATAAATCTGACTTCAACTGTATATTGACTTAAGTAAAAAAAAAAAACTAAAATAAAATAAAAAATCTCTCCCTGTTTTAATTAACCTCATTTGTTCATGCTCCATTTACCTTTCTTTTATGCGCAAACTTAGACTCATCAATAGAAATAAACTTGCATCTTGATTTTCCACCCATTCTAAGACCAGTTCTTCTTCTCAGTCTCTGTAGTGCAGCTACGCATATCTGAACAACATATAAGAGAAATATTAATTATTGACATTTATGAACTGACATGTTTAATTGCTTTGTTTCCAAATGCATTATTCTAAAGTATCAAACCTTCCTAATGGCATTTGTCATCCGGGAAAGTGTTCTTGAACTGCTAGCTATCTTATCCTTATCCACAAGGAGTTGGAGTCCTTGTGCAAATCTGAGAATAAAGAGCACATCACAAGTACTGCCTCTGTCTGCTCTAGGTTGTACAATTATTACAGACATATTACATCACTGTACAGATATATATATATATATATATATATAATTTATTTATAATAATATATAATTTTAATTTTATTTTTTTACCACTCACCGGTAAATAAATTCCAACCACTTAATGAGATGTATTCTGCTTTGGCTAAAAAGTGAACCTTTTCTCACTGATGATGAAACTTTGCGATGACCCTTTCTTCTGCACAACCTATAAAAAAAAAAAACCAGTAAATCATAAAAACATACTAACAGCCAATCATGTATTTCCTATTTTAAGGCAATATCTCCTAAATATTATACAATCATTTTGTAATATGTAAGGTTCATGACCAAAAGGCTAAGATAAATATAAAAATAACACAACCAATATATTTGTCTGTAAATAAAATATATTATTTATTTTTATTCATCCCTTTGTAATACTGTAACGTTAACGTTACTGCATATTTATTCATGTGCTTGTAATACGTCTCAAAAAAAGTTTGTCATCTGATTTTTATCTGTGTTTTTTTTATTTATTTGTATGTATATTATGTGTGTGTTTTGTATGAAGCATTGCCACAATAAATACAAATTAAAGACCTATTATAAGATTTGTATAAATATATACTATATATAGTAACATGGCACAATGTACAGTAACTTAGTACTCTACTTACCATATATAACCGTCGCTACTCTTGTAACTGGTCAGCTTCATTTCCTTTCTGCAAACGCGGCAGGTTGGTGCACCATGGAGCAGTCTCTTCTTGATAAACCATTTTATTAAACTTTTCTGATGATGAGATCCTCTTCTACAGCGATGTAAAAGGTGGTGTATTTGCTCAGATAAATTCATTTTAATCGCATCGTAAAACTGCATACATCTACTTTTCTAAATATATTTGAAATGCAGGAGTGAAATGCGGGAGCGAAACATCCAATCAGAGGTCTGCATTTGATGACGTATATACTTTCAGAGACGTGTTGCGCGCATGCGTGACTTACCTGGCGCCTGGGGGTCATAATTATTCGAATTTCAACGGCTGGCGACGACACATTGGAGGAATGGCAGATAAATAATTACGTCTTTAATATACGTATATGTATTATTGTCAAATGATGTACTTTGTTTCCACAGTATACGGAAATAGTGAAAAAAAAGACTTCATAACACTGATTCTAGAAACAGAATTTTAATTCTGAACACTTTCAGTTATGTTTCGGAAGAGGAAGACAAAAAGACTTCGCACTCTTGCAGTACCTGCATTAGGTAACTTACAACAACACTATTATCGTACTGTAACATTAATGTTTCCTTGATTGTAACGTTAGCACATAAATTGACCCTTTTCACAAGACTGTTATGACGCGCTAACGGTCGTCATAAGCTGAAATCCTTGAAAGTTTTTAATACTTTGATTTCTAAAAAGAAACGTGTCATATTTGTGTCAAATTACAATTAAATGCAAGGTTTTTCTAATGCAGTGTCTATGAGGTTGAAAGTAAATTGTTTTCTCTTTATCTGAAAGTCTTGATAACACCATTGTGGAGTATTTAGTGTATTATTTCAGCAAATAGGACTGTAAAAAGATTCATTGTTGCCATAGTCTTTCATCATTTACTGGCTTATCTACAGATATAAATGCCGTTGTCACAGATGAGGACAGAGAGGTAACATTCTCCAAGCAGTCAGTGGACTGTGAAAACAAACCAGGTACATATGATATTTTGGGACATTTCTAAATTCTAATGTTATTCTAAGCCTAACGTTACTTTTTGTGTTTCCATTTATAAATTATCCATTTTATTTACTGTGCTCGGCATAAATGAGTACACCCTCACAAATCTCTCTTTAAATTAATATTATCTATAGGACGCTGTGCAATAATATATTTGTGCATATACTATACTTTATCAGTTCCAAAACTGGAACTAGTTTAACAAAATATCTTAATATAACAGTCCAAATATGTGTACTGTACACCCAAATTAATTTGTTGTGGAAAAATATGAAATAATAAAAAAAAGTTGTTTGTTTGTTTGCACAACCGCATGTGAAACTGATTGTCAATCAGTGTTGCTTCCTAAGTGAGAAATTGGTGTACTCATTAATGCTGCTCACTGTAGTTTGTCTATATAAGTGTAAGGTTTTAACAAATAGGTGATGATTAAAAGGATAGTTCAACCAAAACTAAAAATTGTCATCATTTACTCATCTTTAAGTGGTTCCAAACCTGTTTGAGTTTCTTTCCTATTTTAAACAAAGAAAGACACTTTAAAGAAAATCTGTAACCATCCACTTACATACAATTAGTTTTTTTTACTATGAAGTTTAATGGTTACAAGGTTTTAGCTTTCTTCAAAATATCTTTTGTTATTTTAACCACTTGAGGGTGAGTAATTAGTAAGTATATTTTAGTATATATCAAGTTTAATAGTTATTTGTAATGTTATCATACAATTTGCTGCACTCACTGTAACTATGTTAATTCTGTTTCACAGAAGACTCAAGCCCAGTTGCCAGCTATTCTTTGGATGAAAGTGAGAAGGGTGAGATCAAATAACTGTATGGCTACAAAATTAAAAGACAGTTATTTCAAACCTGACCTTTGATAGAGCCTATATAACGAGTGGCAGAACATACAGTAAATTTGAATGTCTGTGTTAAGGACTCCAGGCAGCTTCAGAAGGTCCAACTGTGGAAATTCTTTTGGAAAAGATAAAATCTCTAGAGGAAGAGCGTGACTTTCTAAGACGCACACTTGGATCTGTTTGTGGTGAGTAATGCTAAGCTATAAGTAGGTCCACACGGAATCTGCGCGCAGAATTCCGCAGATTTTTAGGCCATTATAAATTCTGTTTATTTACTTGAGCAAATGTGTAAATCTGAATTTATTCAGTTTTTATTCAGTAATTTATTACTTTTTATTTAATATATTAAAGTGTAAGTTATGATACTCCGCTGGATACTCCCAAAATAATTCCGCAGAAATCCGCAGATTTTTACCAAAATTCTCTGCAGAAATAGCAAAAAACGTCTGCAGATTCCGTCTGGCCCTGGCAATAAGATAATCATAGGCTTTATATGTAACATTACTTTTTATATAAAGCAAGAAAAATAGGTACTTAACACGTCACATTATTTCTTAGAAAGCTTCTGGTTAAGGTGTTGCTTATTTAAAAAGTTTCACCAGAGCTTAGCATCCAAAATTAATCCACATACAAATAAACAGAAGTTATTAGTTTAGAAATGTAGTTTTGTGTAATAAAATGAAATCGGGGGTGGGGTGAGGGGTCTAACCTACACAGTAAAAAAATATTGCGGCAATTAGTTATGACAACTAAAAATGTTGAGTTATGTTAACTTATTTGGATTGAATGTGTTGACATAAATTATAAATTATATCAAAGTTTTACTTGGCTAAACTTTTACTTAAAGGTGCAGTAGGTGATCTGCCAAAATGCTTAGCACATTATCTTTGGATGGCGGGGAGGGACTGTGATTCAAAGTCACGCCTCTTAAAATCGCAAGTGTGCGCACCGTGACACGACAGCAGACAACTCACCAGTTCATGACATTTGCCAGTTAGAAATGTAGTTAGTGTCTGGCTGGCGGCGTGCAGGAATTTTACTTATTAATAGCGCTATTTACTGAAGTTTTGTTGTTAAACTTGTTACTAAATGAAAACAACAGTTTAGAGCTCGTCTCCTTTATTGCATGACCACCATGGCCATTCACTAACAACAACAAAAAACTCTCGCTCACACCGGCAGTGACCTTTTAACATAACATAAAAGTCCTACTTTCTTTCTATGTGCAGCATACACATTTACGGTTGTCATCACCATGAATTGAACTTAACAAAATTAAATAAAAATCTACATTACAAGATGCTGTAAAAGGTCCTTATAAAACTGAAAATAGTTACATCAATCTTTCACTGGGAGATTTTAGTGGCTGAACAACACCTCTGTGTATATAATCCATTTTAAACACACTCTATATCATCTTTGTGGAAGAACATTACCTGTCTAACAGAAACACTTCAGCCATGGTGTCGTCCTTCCTCCAGCGTTCAAAAGTAACTCCAATATTGATTCAGGATTTTAAAAAGTTTAAATTCAGAATTTGATTTTACCGCGACAGTGAATGTCTTGTGTGCACGTGTCGTGAATGCACGGCAATCATGCAGGCGGGCACACAATAATGACGGATGCGCGTGAACAGAGATGCGCAGAAGCCCAAAACTACATTTGTTGACAGTTTGGGCTACTTATCAGAATTATGGGAAATGTCGGCCTGACAATATTTAATTTAATAAACATTTTTTAGTCTTATGCCTTACTCAGAATATAAAAATACATATAAACACATTTAGATCATTTACTTTAATCATTACTATTGGACTGTGAAGAGACTTTTAATCAGCACAACGAAAAACGTTTCTGAAGACAATCACCTACTGCACCTTTAAAGTCAAAAGTCAGCTAAATCTATATATTAGTTAAGTTAAACATTTTCAGTTAAAAATAATTCTGCTTTAAATAGTACAAATTTGTGCAAATAAAAATTTATAAATTTGTAATTAAATAAATCTACTTTAAAAATTGTATTCGTATGCATATATACATATATACTTATATGTATATATACACACACACTTACTCATTGGCCACTTTATTGGGTACACCTTACTAGTACCAGGTTGGACTGCCTTTTGCCTTCGGTATTGCCTTGGGCCCCGTTTACACTAACACGTTTTAGTTTTAAAACGCATACGTTTTTATTCTAAAATGCTGCTGCTCTGTCTCAGTGTGGATGGGGGAAAACGGAGACATCTGAAAATGGAGGCAGGGCTGCAGACAATCGCCTATCTGATAGGGGCTTTTTCCTCAATATTAAGTAGCCTACACAAAGTTCAGTCTTCTTGCTCTCCTTGTCAGACTTCGCAAGTTTGATATGGAGAACAAACTCCCATGGTCACGTCGGGTAAATATTTAAAGGAAACAGTGTACTTTATAACCTCATTCACATACCCTGGCTACATTGTTTTACTATGTTAACAATAAAATGAAAACATGATATAAGGAACTGCCTATTTTAATTTTGATATTAACAACATAACAGACCCCAAAAATGTTGTGGTGTCGTGTAGCTACTTATTTATATGACTGTTATCTTCACCGTATGCAAATTTATAACAAAACGGAGCCTTTAACATAACTACCTCCTTTCATTTTCATTGAAAATACGAAACATACCATCTCTTTCGCTGAATATCAGTTTTAATAATCAATAATGCTTGCGCTCTGTGTTCTATTCCCACTTATCACCCTGGCCTATTCATTTAGAACATTCTAACATTAAAAGTTGGAATTATTAAAAATAAAAAAGCATAAAGGTCATCGCTCTTAAGTGTAGTTTGCTTTCAAACTATTTTTTACAGTTCAGTTTTAGCAATCTTAATGTTAACAATCATGCTCTCTTCGCAGTGCATTTTTAAGACATTGATGTTATTTTAAACACAGCCTCATGGCAAAAGCTATAGGTGACCTATTATTTAAAAGCAGAATTTATGTTATGTCTCCAAAGCTTATGAAAACAGAAAGCATACGTTAATTCTTTTCATTTATAGTGGGTTATTTATTAAATGTCTGTACTCTATATGACATGGGCCTGCTGGTTAGAACATTTCTCAAATTGTAAAAGTAGACTTTAAAAAAAATAAAAATGAATAAACAACATCCTACTTATTAATAATATTAACTACTATCATCATCATACTTAAATATTATTAATGTATGTTTTTTTTTCATTTCTAAGAAATAATACATATTACATTTCATTTCTTAATAAATTGCCTCATTATTTATTTATTTATTCATATGACTTATATATGATATTAAAATATGTGTTAGCTTTTGTAAGGGATATGTTTTAGAATAGAATATGTAATATTCAACTTCTCAATAATATTAGTAAAGCAAACACAGGCCCTATGTGCCATTTACATAATATCCAGTTAATATGGAAAGCGTGTGCATGTTTTTACCAAATCTAATATTGAACTTTATTTTAAATGTGTGTGCGTGTAAAACAATATAATTTGCACAAAGAAATTATGGGTTTTTCTCTAAAGAAGTTGTTACTCCCAGTTTAGAGCATCATTTTGGGCGTTTTACGTTATAACTAACGTCGTTCAAGCGATGAATCTGCGAAAGAAAAACTACCGGTTTTGGGAAAACACTCGTCACTACATAGTTATTTTCCCAAATGATTGAACCATACTATGATAGTTCAGCCGTTAGTGACATCGTTGTTTGGGAAACGCACCCCTGGTTTCTTCCAAAGATGTAGATTACCCATAGTATATGAGTGTGTGTGCAAATGAGAGACTCAGCTTCAATATTTAAGTGTAGTAAACTTAAACCATGTCTATTGTACTTGAATTATAAGTACTATCAATATCCTTCTTAATTACAACAACTTACACTTGTATTGTCAAGTCCTGCCAACTTTAACCTGAGTTAAGACAACTTTGCTGTTTAAGTGAAAAAAAGTAATGTTTTTAAGGCAGCAATTGTTTTAGTGTTTTTACAGTGAGGGTAGTAAGCTGCATTTAGATCAGCCTTCATTTTGGTATACAGTATTTGTTAGTTTTATTACAGTATTAGTTTTCACAATAAAACCAGCAACTACTGGACACAATTAGACCTTGCAAAGTGCAAGTTACTCAAAATGCCTAATGCAATAGACTATTTTATGCCAACATTAAAAATGACAGCCATTTCAAGGAAAAATGAATTTAATATGAATCTTTCATTTAGGCAAAGAAAAGAAAAAGAAGAAGAAAGACACTAGTAGTGACAGTGATGAGTTACCCTCTTCATCATCTTCATCGTCCTCCCTATCATCATCATCATCTGAAGATGAAAGATGTCACAAAAAAAATCCAAAAAGAAGAAACCCCCCCCAAAAAGGTCAAGATCTACATTCTCCTGTTCAACTGTGAGAGGTAAATACAAGATCAGTACTTTTTGTGAATTGATTCTTGATGAAAATGACTTTGCCATTTTTTTTATAATGTGCAATGCATTAATAAATTATTTATTTAATTTTCAACAGCTAAGTCTCCAGAAGACGTTCTAAAGAGATACAAAAAAGTTCTTCGAGCATACAATAAGGAAGGAAGCATGACAAGAGCTTTCACAAAGGTTGGAGTGGACAGAAACACTCTTGCCCTCTCTGCAGTTATAGCTGAGATTCAAATTGTTGATCCAGAATTTTACCGCTCCCTCCCCCAATTCCAGCCTCAGCAAGAGAAGCTTTTTGAATTTGCTCAGAGGTGCTCGGAGGCCCTGACCACTGAAGTGAAAGCTTCAATTTTCTCGGCAAAACAAAGTGGAAAACTCTTGCCAATTAAATACAAATTTCGCTAAATGCTTATTATTTTGAGGTTTTTTTTTTCATCTAACGTATGGTTTCCTGTGTTACTGTATATCTAAAGAAATGTGTTTAAACCATATTGTGTGACCTTTTTTGTTTGTTATATTTTCTCAAAATAATTCTAATTTTGTAAAAGTTTCCTAAATACACTGTTTCAGTTTATCTGAAAGTTACAATAAAAATAACTGAATTAAAACTTGTTTTTTGCATATCCTGTAATTATTAGCAAGTTTAAATAAAAATACCACATTTATAATTGTTCACACATTTGTTCTCCCACAAAAGGGCAGGTTTAGTGTATTTTCAGTGTAAGTACATGGTAGTTCCTGTGTATCAACAATGGTTCCTCACTGTATTTTAAGAGGGCAAATTTAGTGTATTTTCTATGTAAATACACGGTTGTTCCTTTGTATCAACAAGGGTTCCTCACTGTATCTTAAGAGGGCAAATTTAGTGTATTTTCAGTGTAAGTACACTGTAGTTCCTGTGTATAAACAAGGGTTCCTCACTGTATCTTAAAAGGGCAGATTTAGTGTATTTTCTATGTAAGTACACGGTTGTTCCTGTGTATCAACAAGGGTTCCTCATTGTATCTTAAGAGGGCAAATTTAGTGTATATTTAGTGTAAGTACATGGTTGTTCCTGTGTATCAACAATGGTTCCTCACTGTATTTTAAGAGGGCAAATTTAGTGTATTTTCTATGTAAGTACACGGTTGTTCCTGTGTATCAACAAGGGTTCCTCACTGTATCTTAAGAGGGCAAAGTTAGTGTATTTTTGGTGTAAGTACATGGTTGTTCCTGTGTATCAACAAGGGTTCCTCACTGTATCTTAAAAGGGCAGATTTAGTGTATTTTTGGTGTAAGTACATGGTTGTTCCTGTGTATCAACAAGGGTTCCTCACTGTATCTTAAGAGGGCAAAGTTAGTGTATTTTCAGTGTAAGTACATGGTTGTTCCTGTGTATCAACAAGGGTTCCTCACTGTATTTTAAGAGGTCAGATTTAGTGTATTTTCAGTATAGTACACGGTAGTTCCTGTGTATCAACAAGGGTTCCTCACTGTATCTTAAAAGGGCAGATTTAGTGTATTTTCAGTGTAAGTACATGGTTGTTCCTGTGTATCAACAATGGTTCCTCACTGTATTTTAAGAGGGCAAATTTAGTGTATTTTCTATGTAAGTACACGGTTGTTCCTGTGTATCAACAAGGGTTCCTCACTGTATCTTAAGAGGGCAAATTTAGTGTATTTTCAGTGTAAGTACACGGTAGTTCCTGTGTATCAACAATGGTTTCTCACTGTATTTTAAGAGGGCTGATTTAGTGTATTTTCAGTGTAAGTACACGATAGTTCCTGTGTATCAACAATGGTTCCTTACTGTATTTTGAGGGCAGATTTAGTGTATTTTCAGTGTAAGTACACAGTAGTTAAGTACATATTCCTGAGTGTTCAAATGGTCCCACCCTTTACAACAAAATTTACTTAGTTAACAAGAGTTAACTAATACGTTGACATAATTTATTAATCGTAGTTACTGTTGACCATTGAATTTACTAGATTTGTAATATCAAGTTATGTGTATTTTTACATTATTTAATGCTGTACAACATAAGTGAGAACCATTTTGCTAACATAAACAAAGATTATATATGCCATAAAATATATTTTTCATTGCTATTTCCTCTAATTTTTTGCATATTAACTACTGTTTACAAATAAAACGTTTTGCTGAATAGATGCTGCAGTTTATGTGCATTATTTACAACAGGTGAAGTGCACACCACAACATAAATAAATAAATGACTCTTTCCTAACACAAATAAATTAAATGAATGAACTGAATGAACATTTACAACTGTATGTATTTTGCAAACATTGGTTGCATCTTTGAATAATAAGGATATTGCGCACCTTGCGGTAACCATAAACAATAATTCTTTGTTGTGTAATAGAAGTAAAAAAAATATGTTTGCCAAAAAAAAAAAAAAAAATAGCAATAGCAAATATGTTGTGTACTTACAAACGTGTACTTAAAAATAATGTACTTACAAATACGTACTTACAAATATGTACTTATAAAATGTGTACTTACACATTAGCCTATATATGTAAGTACACTTTTGTAACTACATATTAAGCCTGTGTGTACTTTAAATGTAAGAACATGAAGGTACAATGTAAGTACACTGTACCAAATGTGTAATTTGGGCTGTAGGTACATAGTTACTAAGGCCACCTAATGTAAAGTGGGACCAAGGTGGGTCAATACAATTAGCCTATTATTATTGTTAATTTTCAAACATATGGTAATATACAATACAAATATCAGGCCTATGTGTTGGTCTACTGTTGTTTAAAATGCTAAATTTTGTATAGTTATTATCAGGGCTTGACATTAACATTTTTGATCACCAGCCACTGTGGCCAGTAGATTTCCAACATTACTAGCTACTCGCCATTTTCACTAGCCACAATTTTCTTGTTGGGAAAATATATTTTATATGCTTAAATTTTGACTTTGACATGCTAAAATGACTTGATTTGGATATTGTGTTATGTCCACATGCCTCCTCATTCACTTAACTTCTTAAGTGTATTGTGTATTAGCTTACTCAGTGTGCATGAGCAAATGCATTATGTCGCAATGCAATCAGTTTTTATTTCACACGACTTTTCAGGGCTCAAAACTAAGGATTCAGCAAATTTATATCTGGCCACACCAAATAAGTATTTCTTAGTCACAATTTTTTAATGTGTCAAAACAAGAAAAATATAGCTGTATAGGTGCACTTTTTAATCTAACAAAAATTTTCTTAAAAAAACTTTAAATATTAAATAAAAAAAAGAAGTATTGTCATATATCTAAAATATGCACAGTAATCTGTCTGGCCTAAAGTTCCAGATCACCAGTTAAGTGCAAAAAAACTGGGAGTTAATCTATTAAAGCATTAGTTTTGTAAAAAATATAATTAAACTATATTAACAAATATAACTAACCAAACGAAACATACCATGGTTGATAATGATAGGATGCTCACACCCACACGGTTAATATAGGCCTGTAATAATCTGTTAATAATCTAATAGAAAGAATAATTCAAATAAAAGCAGTGACCACTGCTGCTTACAAAAGAATGTGTATTTTTTAATCTTGAGCTCTTAAAAACATGACTGTGGGTGCACGATCATCGCTCTTTGTCCAGTCTATTTCAAAGGGAACCGATCGCACCAGTTGCGCTTCCTCAACGAAGTTAACCTCCACTCCCCAGCAGCTCTGTCCTGACCTCTTCATGCAGCTCAAAGGACCAAGCTGTCCCGGGAGAAGCTTGCTAATACCCAGAGTTGGACCATAGGCCATCTGGCCATTCAAAGCAGTTGCAGACCTGGACAGTGTCATCCAGCCCAGCACCTCTTTGTGCTGCAAAAGGGATGATTTCTCCCTCTGAGCTATCAACCAAGGCTGAACCTGGACATGGGCGTCCCACGAGACACTTTGAACACACGAGACAGGGATAATTTTCCCCAATTGGCCCGTAGCCAAGGCTGAACCTGGACGTAGCAGGCGTCCACCTTAGTACTAAGGAGACAGGGCTCATTTGCCCCTACTGAAGCTATTTTTACCACACACATAGGAATAATAAAGACACTGAACACCATATGACCGTTAAGTTATATAATATTTATTCAGGACGATTCAGAGTCTTCTGTTGGTTCGAGTGGGTGAGCCCCCTGGCTTTTCCCCTTGGCAGGTCGCAATGGCAGTGTCCTCCTGCTGGTTCCCTCCTGGAAAAGAGACACAAAAAGGCCAGTTAGTCAATGCCAAACGTTCTGCTGTTACCATCCACGCCAAAAAGAAACTGATTTACCAGGGGAGATCCAGGAGTCTCTGTCCTCTTGCGCCCCTTCCGCGAGGGGCTTTCTGTGCCCACTAGCTCCCCCTCCTCCTCCCCATCCTCCTCCACCAGGGCCCTTTCAAATAGTCTGCGGCGCACACGTGCTTGGAGAGGTCCGAGGTGAAGTGAAGTGTGTAGAACTTATCTGAGGTTGAAGTGTCATGGCACATGAATTGCGCCACCTTCCGGCGACCCTCTGAAGAATGTGCATTCTTTGCCTGTGTCGGCGAGAGACAGACAGGCAGAACCTTTTTAGGATCAAAGCTGCTGGTGGTAGTCACAGGAGCATCACATGCATACTCACGTGGGTCGCGATGGCAGTCCGTATGTCAGTAAAGGTCGGTTTGCCGGGAAGCCCCATGCTGGTCCACGCAGATTAAAAGTATTTGTTTAGGGTCCGACAAGGACTGGCTCTGGAAGTGAAAAAGAAATAGGGAGCCTGGCTCCCTCTAGGGCAGGCGTGTCCAAACTACGGCCCGCGGGCCATCTGCAGCCCGCAATCAGTTTTGTCGCGGCCTGCGAGGCTTTTTATAAATATCAATAGAATCTGGCCCGCTATACAAAAATGAACGTAATTCAATAAATAACCACCGGGTGTCGCTATTACATGCATTCAATTAAGCAGCGGTTCTTGATATGATTTATCTATCTATCTATCTATCTATCTATCTATCTATCTATCTATCTATCTATCTAATATTTTTTCTTCTGGAGAAAGACTTATTTGTTGTATTTCGGCTAGAATAAAAGCGGTTTTAATTTTTTTATGAACCATTTAAGGTCAAAATTATTAGCCCCTTAAGTCTTCAGAACAAACCATTGTAATAAAATAACTTGCCTAATTACCTTAACTTGTAACTTGATTAACCTAGTTAAGTCTTTAAATGTCACTTAAAGCTGTATAGAAGTGTCTTAAAAATATCTAGTCAAATATTATTTACTGTCATCATGGCAAAGATAAAATAAATCAGTTATTAGAAATGAGTTACTAAAACTAATATGTTTAGAAATGTGTGGAAAAAAATCTTCTCTCCGTTAAACAGAAATTGGGGAAAAAATAAACGGGGGCTAACAATTCTGACTTCAACTGTATATATATATAAATATATATATATATATATATATATATATATATATATATATATATATATATATATATATATATATATATATATATATATGCGTGTCTGTGTGATGTGTGTAAAATTTGGCCCGCGACAACGTTGTTTTTTTTGCATCTGGCCCTCGGCCCAAAAAGTTTGGACACCCCTGCTCTAGGGAGACCAGCCCGCAGCGACAAGAACCTGC